AGAGAGAGAGGTGCAAGTCATGAGATAGGATAAGTATAAAAATATACAATCTATATTAAAATTTTCAATATTCCTTCTAAATACTCAAAATATTTAACTTTTGGCAATTTATGAAGTGTATATGGAAGTTCAAACATTTTAAAATCGACCAAACTATCATGATGTTATTTTACAAAACCTTTATTCAAAGTGTCATAAACTTTAATTTCTTGAGTTGGTTCGGGAACCTGTCTGTTCAGAATAAAAACAAACTTTCAAAAGTCGTAAACACTGCGTCTTAAATTATTGGGCTTCCTAATGAAAGTATCGGCAGTTGTTATGAGCAGCAATTTTCCAAAAAGGCAAACAGAATTTTAAGTGATCCTACTCACATACTCTTTTCTGAATATTCATCATTACCTTCTGGACGCAGGCTGCGTATGCAGACTTTTAGAACAAACAGGGTTCACCACTCATTTGTTCCAGCTAGTATTAGATGCATTAACAACAAATTCTGTGAATGACTTGTCTTTTAATTGTCAAAATTCTATTCAATATCTATGTTTGTGTACTAAATTGATGTATTTATATCCTGATTATTTCATGATTACCAATTGCAATGTTATGTATGGCTGCTTTATGAATGAAAAACTGGAGAACGTATGATGCAAAACAAATTTCCCTTGGGACAATAAAGAATTATCTTATCTTATCTTATCTTATCTTATCTTATCTTATATGGGGCAAAAAACAATCTAAAAACAAAATTTCTTGTATGTTTACATTTCTGGCCAATAAATACATTAGGATTTAATTTTTGAGCGGGGAAAATTAATTATTGTATTTTTTTCTTATTCTTGAAAAAATATGACAGGCGGATCTGTAAAACAAGAAATAAAATTGGTCTGGCCTAAATGTAAATAAATTTCAGTATTGATCTTCAGTAATGACAATGTATCAGATCATGCAGTGTCTGAGAAGATTCGAATTGTATCATTCATATACTTTTATGAGAAGAAATACAAGTTCAATTTCAATTTTGGTGCAATCCTCTAAAAGAAATGGTGGACATAAAATTCCCCATTTCTGCACAACATATATATATACTCAGCAGCAAAACAAACGTCAGTATGAATTCAAAATTAGATAGGCACTGTAATGAAATCATTACAGAAATGGACATAATAAGCGGATCAAAAACATTTTTTGTGTACAATATCTTGACACATCAATGAATAACTCAGCACAATTTCAAGACATTACGTGAACGTTTGCAGTCCATTTGGACTCTTGACTTCAGTATCTAGTGTGACCACCACGAGCAGCAATAACTGCAGCACAGCTTCCATGCATGGGGTGCACCAATCTATTGATGAAGGCCATTGGCACCTGGAACCACACCCTTGAGAAAGGCCTGGCGCAATAAATCGGCTGTGTTAGGCCTTGGTATGACATTATTCAGTCACCTCTGAATTTCATCCCAAAGATGTTCAATTGGGTTAAAATCAGGACTAAGGGCTGGCCACTGCATAATGTTGACACCGTTTTGCTGTAGGAAGTCCCGTGTAGCTCTGGCAGCATGGGCCCAGGCGTTATCATGCTGGGAAATGTTGTTCCGGTGACGCGCAAAATGTGGTATGACGTGGGGTCTGAGAGCTTGGTTGATGTAGTGCACCGCTGTAATGGTGCCTCCTCTCCCTGGACCAAGGTTCTGGAACACCACAGGACCCACTCTTTGGTTCAGGCCTATTCCACCCCATACCATGATGCTTGCACCTCCCCATGAGTTTCTTTCCATAACACATTGGTCTGAGTAACGCTGGCCACATTGTCTCATCTGTGAACAGAACAGTTCTCTATTGCCTGTATCACCAGTTTTGGTGTTGTAGGGCAAACTGTAGACGTACACGCCAAAGACGAGGGGTGAGGATAGGTCCACAGTAAGGTCTACGGCAATGGAGGTTCCCGCTGTTAAGACGTCGGCGTACTGTATCAGTACTGATTGGTTTTCCGTGTGTTCCCACTGTCTGGCGTGCTGTTTCGGATGCCTGCATGAAGGGTTTCTGTACATGCTGTCGCACAACATGGTGGTCTTGTCATCTTGTGGTGACACTGGTCTGCCAGTACGGGGGCAATCATTTGTGGTGTTGGTGGCCCGGAAACATTGCTGCAGCCTGTGGATGGTCCGAACGTTGACCTGGAAGTGATTGGCAACAGCTTGTGCAGTGTGGCATCCTGCTGATGCTGTAATGTGAATGTTTCAACCAGGTTTGGGGGTGCATTTTATAGGGCTGGTCCTTGTTAAGAGCACGTGCAGCATGAGAACTCCGTACCATCTCCGAGATCAGGTTGCGTTTTTGAGACCATTTCCTGGGTTCAATTCTGAGTTTGGGAAAGAATGTCTTTGCTCAGGTAAAGTAGGGGATGTAAAAAATATACAATCAAAACATTAAATGAGTTTACAGTTATCCGTTTCTGCGAAGGAAAATCCAAACCGACGTTTCTTTTGCTGCTTAGTATATATTTCCAATATCCTGTGGCTCAGAAAAAGATATTTCACTGTATTGACAATTTCATTCAAAACAACCCGAACATTTCTATTTGAATGCCATGAACAAGACATTCTGATTCAGGGTCATCCAGCTAGGTGAGGAACTGCAGACAACACAACATGTGATAAGCACACTTTGGCCTGTGTCCTGTAATATTCCAACTATCAAGCAGAGATACATGAGAGCTTCTCAGGCTTTATAGCACTCTATAGAAACGTCAGACTTCTTCAGTTTGCAGAGGCAAAGATATGATTAAGAAAAACACAGGACTTTATTACTTATTACTCCAACACACTGCAAAAGTACTGATTGAACATGTATGTAACCCAATGAACCTGGCACCTGGTAAATTGAACAATGTCATGAATATGGACACTAGATGTGATATACAGGTAGTCCTGTCCGAAAATCTAGACCCATGCATGTTTCGCTGTTAACATTTACAATGTACTTTGTTTTTAAGCAGAAAATAATTGCATGTGGTCATTGCTTAGTTACAGTATCATTAAAATATGCCAAAAGCACAAACATTTTCTTTTCTAAACACCATGATCATCAAAATTAATAATGATAGATGAAAAGAATGTAGGAAAAATGGTAACAGGAAAAAAAGTAACAGTTTAATATAAATACTTATATAAACACTTAATTAGCTTTGAGCTTTGATCATCTTATTTAAGTTGTTGTTGTTACTTGTTTTCACTGAGCAACTTCTCACCTATTCAGCTTATTTGATAGTATAAACAACTTTGTTAAGTAAACTATTCATCATAACCTGGTACGCTAACAGCATCCTTCCGTGTGGAAGACCATACAATGGTTCCAAAAAGACCAAAGTCTCACAAAAAACTATGAAACAACAAGCTGCCCTTGGGGTATGCCCAGAACAAAGAGGAAGAAGAATATGGAGTCACTCCAGCGTAGACTCAATTGTTTTGTTATACTTTGTTAATAAATAGAAAAACAAACAACTGAAAAAGTGTTTCTTTTTTTCCTGTTACTTTTTTTCCCGATCACTGATGAAAAAGGGACATAATCAGATGATAGACAAGTTTAAAATGAACAGATTAAATTTTGTTCTGGTATTTTTCTGTAATATCATTGTCTGGATCATGCTTTATAGCCATGTCAAACTGCAGTAAACTAATTAATGATTGCATTGAAGTAAAAGTTTTGAAAAAACAAATGTATACCATAAAAATATATATAAAATATATGCATTTAAGGTAAAGTGGGTAAAATAATTTCCCAACAACAATAGAGGTTCAACTGAAAGTATTAAGAAATATCTATATAATCCTTAAAGGTCACATGCAACGTAAAACACAACTTTGCAGATTCTGATACCTTTCGGTATGGACTTACAGTAACAAATGATCCAAAATGCAAATTCAACTGAAAAATGAAAAGTGATTTCAACAGCTGTGCTGCAATGCACTCATGGCGCATGCGCAGTGAATAGGTTCACGCAGCTTGGAAGCGGGATGTCCGGATTATAAGCAGGAGTAGTGTAATCTTAGTTGTGTACACAAGCAACAAATAGTACATAATCTACTCGATACATAAAAGAACCTTGTTAAAGATCTAGATCTACTCAGCTATGTGTCAACCAGTGAGGAGGCAGTGAGCACTCGGAGTAGGCTTTGATGTGAGTTATTTTTCTAATGTTTTGTTGATATTTCACAGTCGCGAGCTTTTTATATGTTATGACAGGAGATTACCGATTTAACTGTTAATATAATTTCATATGACCATTTCACCACATGTTCTTACCGAGTCACTTTCTCAGTTCGATACTTAACATCAACATCATTATTTAGCATTGTCAGAATTTCTAACTGTGATATAGATATGCCTCTGTCACAGACAAAACTCAATGTCTGTTTTATTGACACCTATGTGTCTGCCTGCCTGCCTGTCTGCTAATGACAATATGCGATACACAACTTCGATCACTGACCACATGCAATTTGAACTTAATACCCATCAGGCTATACACCATAAACAAAACGCATTGATTTATGGCTCGTGCACCCATCGTTCTGTCTCTGTCACATAATGTAATTACACAGACAGGCAGGTGTGATACTTGTACACATTACATGTTATGTCTGTTGATTGCAAAATGTTATACACAAAAAATGAGCATGTATTTTCAAAAACCCAACATCTCTATACACACACAAAGAGTGGTGATACTTGTACACATTACATGTTATGTCTGTTGATTGCAAAATGTTATACACAAAAAATGAGCATGTATTTTCAAAAACCCAACATCTCTATACACACACAAAGAGTGTATAGGCAAAGGAACCAGCCAATGAAAGACTTCTTTACATTTGAGTGCATGCCCACTTGCTCTGACTGGGTTCGGTATCCCGGGTGCTACGTTTCAAGGGAAGTAAACCCAAGTACAAAATATTGTACATTTGATTTGTGATTGTACGCTTATAATTTTGTTTATTTTTAATTTTTCATAATCGGCAATGCATATTATATGTCATGAATAAGTGATAGTTGTGTTTTAATTATGTTTTGTTTTTTTTGTTGCATGTGACCTTTAACCTTCAATCATTAACATACATTAAGCCTTAATGTTGATAAGCTTCATTCTCAAGTAAACTTGTAAAAACTAGGTAAGATAGTTATCCATGCTGTTGTCGGTTGAATTGAAATGTCTCTAGTCCTTCTTTGATCAAGGATTCTGTAACACCATCACTGACAAGGATGCTGGTCACACCTGAAACAGAACACAATACAGTTGTATCTCGAATTACAACACTGGTCATCCCTTAGACAGTAACATCAACTGTCACCCTTTAAACAGCTGCCTCACTTGTCCCCCCTTAAACAATCACTTCTCTTGTCACACCTGAAAAAGAGACAGGGGTGACTGACATTGGTCACAGGGTAATATATATATTGGTCACAAGGTCAGGCATAACAGTGGTGGCAAGGGAAATCATAACACTGGTCACATGGTTGATGTAATATTGGCCATTGTGTGTAATAAGTAGAAATGACCAAAAGGTAAAACTGGTCACAGAATAATAAGTACAACTAGTCACAGGGTAAGTGAGTGAGTGAGTTTAGTTTTACGCGACGCTTTTAGCAATATTCCAGCAATATCATGACAGGGGGACACCAGAAATGGGCTTCACACATTGAACCCATGTGGGGAAATCAAACCCAGGTCCTTGGTGTTACCAGCGACCGCTTTAACCTCTAGGCTACCCCACCACCTCAGCCATAGGGTAATGTGTAGGACTAAACACTGGGTAATGTGTAGGACAGATTATTGGGTGATGTGTAGGACTGATCACTGGGTAATGTGTAGGACAGATCACAGGGTGATGTGTAGGACAGATCACAGGGTAATGTGTAGGACTGATCACAGGGTAATGTGTAGGACGGATCATTGGGTGATGTGTAGGACAGATCACAGGGTAATGTGTAGGACAGATCATTGGGTGATGTGTAGGACTGATCACTGGGTGATGTGTAGGACTGATCACAAAGTAATGTGTAGGACTGATCACAGGGTAATATGTAGGACAGATCACAGGGTAATGTGTAGGACAGATCACAGGGTAATGTGTCACAGGGTGATGTGTAGGACAGATCACAGGGTAATGTGTAGGACAGATCACAGGGTAATGTGTAGGACAGATCACAGGGTGATGTGTAGGACAGATCACAGGGTAATGTGTAGGACAGATCACAGGGTAATGTGTAGGACTGATCACAGGGTAATGTGTAGGCCTGATCACAGGGTAATGTGTAGGACAGATCACAGGGTAATGTGTAGGACTGATCACAGGGTAATGTGTAGGACTGATCACAGGGTAATGTGTAGGACAGATCATTGGGTAATGTGTAGGACTGATCATTGGGTAATGTGTAGGGCAGATCATTGGGTGATGTGTAGGACAGATCACTGGGTAATGTGTGTAATACAGGGTAATGTGTGGGACAGATCACACAGGGTGAACTGTGTAGGACAGATCACAGATCACAGGGTAATGTGTAGGGTAATGTGTGTGGGACAGATCACTGGGTGATGTGGGTAATGTGTAGGACAGATCAGGGTAATGTGTAGGTGTGATGTGTAGGACTGATCACAGGGTAATGTAGGCCTGATCACAGGGTAATGTGTAGGACAGATCACAGGGTAATGTAATGTGTAGGCCTGATCACACTGATCACAGGGTAATGTGTAGGACAGATCATTGGGTAATGTGTAGGACTGATCACAGGGTAATGTGTAGGACAGATCATTGGGTAATGTGTAGGACTGATTCACTGGGTAATGTGTAGGACTGATCACAGGGTAATGTGTAGGCCTGATCACAGGGTAATGTGTAGGCCTGATCACAGGGTAATGTGCAGGACAGATCATTGGGTAATGTGTAGGACTGATCACAGGGTAATGTGTAGGACAGATCATTGGGTAATGTGTAGGACTGATCACAGGGTAATGTGTAGGGCAGATCATTGCGTGATGTGTAGGACTGATCATTGGGTAATGTGTAGGACAGATCACAAGGTAATGTGTAGGACTGATTCACTGGGTAATGTGTAGGACTGATCACAGGGTAATGTGTAGGACTGATCACAGGGTAATGTGTAGGCCTGATCACAGGGTAATGTGCAGGACAGATCATTGGGTAATGTGTTGGACTGATCACAGGGTAATGTGTAGGGCAGATCATTGGGTGATGTGTAGGACTGATCATTGGGTAATGTGTAGGACAGATCACAAGGTAATGTGTAGGACTGATTCACTGGGTAATGTGTAGGACTGATCACGGGGTAATGTGTAGGACTGATCACAGGGTAATATGTAGGACAGATCACAGGGTAATGTGTAGGACAGATTCACAGGGGAATGTCTAGGAATGATCACGGGTAATGTGTAGGACAGATCACGGGGTAATGTGTGGGTCTGATCACTTGGTAATATGTGAGAGTAAAGTAAATAATTTAATAATAAAGTACAGTTTAACGATGAACTATTAATTGTTTAGTTTTCATAGGCATGAAGACTCTTGCATTCAAGGCCATTGATGTAAGAACAGATCAGGGCAAAATTATACTTTATTACACGACACATGGGGGTAGAGCAAACTTTATTTCTGTTTCTAAGCTTCCAAATTGAAGACAATCTTTGTGCCCCCTAGGAACAGTACTTAATATCAAAGAAGTAAATTGAAAATCTTTAAACAGGGCTAACTGGTTGTTCTGTCCAAATATTGCACCCTGTTGTTCAGAGTGATAAGTATGTTTTAACATAAAAGGATACCACTAAAATTGTTTGTTTATGTTAACTGAGGTCCTTTTTATCCCATTGGCATATAATAATGCGGGGAATATAGTCAGTGCCATGTCTGTATGTCCATCCGTCCGTCAGTCTGTTTGTCCATTAGTAATCATGAGCATAACTCACAAAACGTTCAGTATGTTTCAGCAAAAACTGGTAGATATAGTATGACCAGAAATTATTCAGAATTTTAGGAATATGTTTAATTGGATTTCTAGTATAAACAACTACCTTGACCAGCTATCAAGTGCTTGGTTTCATTCAAGAGAGACATCTCAGTTAATCTTTTTTCATTAGTTTGTGAAGAGTTATCCCACTTTGTTTACTTACTAGCAGACGACATTTTCAGTGATCCTCAGTATGGATGATTTAGAGAAGAGGAAGTTGATTTTAGAGTATTATAACAAGGACATCAGATCAGCTAAAGTGATTTCAAGTAGAACAGGCATCCCTTTGTCCACTGTTTATCGTGTTTTGAAAAATATTGCAAATGGATATGGCACTGAGTACCAGGGAGGCGCAGGTAGGCCCAGAAAATTTACTGTCAGTGACAGGAGGTGGCTTGGTATTCTTGTTTCTAAAAACAAACGAAGGAGTTTAGAAAACTTAAAGGTCACATAAACCCTAGGGGGTAAAAATACATAAATCACTAACTGGCATCGTTATAAATGAAACCCCGTCATTAAAACTACTCATTTCGACCTTTAATTGACTTAAATCGACCTTTTTTGACAACAGTGCACAATTCTCACCCGCGAAAGAAATTTCAACCAATCAGAGCGGCGCGACTCTGTGACGTCATATGAGGAATAGCTTTGAGGGCCGATGCAGAATTCATCTACATTTTAGGGGGTAAATTATCTTGTTTACAGGCTTGTATAAACCTGAAATCGTGACAATTGTTGTGGAAAATGAAAGCTATATGTTCTCACAATCTACTGGCATTTAATTTTGTCTCCTGCTTTTGCCTAGTTTCCGAGTTACAACTTGTTTTCATAGACGCTTCTGTCACAATTGATTGGTGTCGTTAGGCCCTATTTGTATAATGACTGATCCAAATTGATCCCATTTCTGTGTTTTTTTTACCTCGATATTTAATCATGTCATGTAAAAATCTGTTTGTATTCTCAAAACAGTGTCGGCCCATAAGTTTTCACATGCAATACAGCAATTAATACTCCCTTGTTGTAACCCGTGTTAGGTGGTATAAACCTACACATGTTATTTGTCATCATTCACTTGATGGTCAGTTAATGAATTTATAACAGGTATAATTAGTGGTAACACACTTAGATTACCCGACAAAGGTTCCCATTTGGCATTTCTTGTGTCTGGAGTAAATATTCAACATTATAAACATCGATCAAAGGATTAACCGATAACACGCTGATTGATTAATTTTTTTAACCTACACAGCGGAATTGTCAACAGGTAGTGTTTATGTATGTAGATTTACTAATCTATACTGAATACACTCTGCCGTGTCGGTGTCTGCGTAAAAACAACGTCCTTCTTTCAAAGGATTAACCTGCAATACATTGATTGATTGCCCATTATTGGCTAACTAAATTACTGTTTTTAATGAAAGGCGGACATTATGCAATCAGTTGCCAGGTGTGCTATCTTGGGTGACCAATGAGACTATACACCAATACCTGAAAAGATTTATCACTTTTTTCAGATATTAAACTGTTAAAAGACACATCATTTGGAACAGTTTTGTGGATATTGATGGATACATTCCTCAAACAAGGTAATGGCCTGATATTGTTCCTATAACTTTAATCTGTTTTAATTTTAATATTTGCATTTTGTTTTTATTCATTTGTCGTAGCATTCAACAGAATCATTGTTTTCGCCGTGAAGTGTAATGAGACAGACAACATACACTAGGGTGTGTGTGCGAATTATGATTCACATTGGCAAACTATAAAATGTCTAGATATTACAGTTCTGTTATAAATTCACTATAAGTATCAGCAGATCGTCAGCTTTTATTTAGTTTCAAAATGCATAAAAGTATGATAATAAACTAATTAGGATTATAAGACCAAATATAAAGACGCATTACTGACTAGTATCTACATACTGGTGAGTGGACATTAACCATGTGAATGTAGCAAGAAATTTATCGCAAGAGTATTGTGACTTCGACCCCACCTCGCCGTGGAAGAAATCGTTATGTTATAAGTTGTGTCATGCAAAATCCTTTTGGTTATGATTCCAATACATATTTAACCATTTAGTAGAAAGTAGTTTTGATTTTCTAACTTGATGAAAACAAACTATAATCTCATTAATTCTAACAGACTTTACGATTTTCAAAATGGCGGGCACTCTGTCGGGAACATCCGCCAGTCTGTGGATAAATGCTATTTAGGTTTGTTTTCACCGAAAGTTACAAAATCAAAACTACTTTC